TCACACATCGCACACTTGATGACTTATGTACCCCGGTCCTGATAACTTTGGCATGGGATGTGTGTGTGGGGAGCGGGGGTTGATGAAATATACCACCATTAACTTTTATGGGAATAGCATGGTAACTCACATATCACAGACCTGATAACTTGTGTACCTCGGTCCTGATAACTTTGGCATGGGGGGAGGGGTTGATGAAATATCCTCTCGATAACTTCTCTGTGAATAGCATGATAACTCATACATGATAACTTATGTGCCTCGGTCCTGATAACTTTGGCGAGGGGGTTGTTTAAAAACGTACCCCAACAACTTTTGTGTAAAAATTTTGGTACTATATACATCGTATACGTGATAACGCTTGCACAATCACTGCAGTAACTTTAATCTGAGCTGATAAGAAGGTTATGAGGTTTGTGCCCCGGTAATATCTGTGTAAACAACGTGGTAACATATGTAAAACATGTGTGATAAATTACTTAGCCCAGAAGTGGTAACTTTTGATCCGAAATAAAAGTCTTCGGAACATATCAACTTACAATCTAGTTTCGGTGCCCTTTTCACGGCGTGCTTTTTATGCAAAAACGATTTTTGATCGGACAGAAGGTTTGAGCTAAAAAACGTTTTTGAAGTTTGAAAATATGAGGGAATCAAGGATGACATCAACTTTTCGCTATTCTGAATCATTTGCATATGGGATAATTGGAGGACCATTTTTTATGCCCCGGTAATTTCTATATAAATAAGATGGTAACTTATGTATCATATACGTGATAACTTACTTAGTCTGGGTCTGGTAACTTCTGACACGAAAAAAATCGTCGAAACATACCAACATGGGATCTAGTTTCGAAGATCTCGTCGTAACGAATCTTTTGTGTGAAAACAGTTTTTCAATCGGAGCGACGGTTTGAGCTACAAAATGTTTTGAGTACTTTTTTAGATGAAATCTTTGATGACATCAATTTTTTTTTATTTTTTCTTGCATGTAACTATTATCCAACTGGAGGGATTCTACATTCGCATGGAGTTTGCACTGCATGTGTATTGTTAGTGTCCACAGTTAGTGTCCACAGGTCACGGGAGCCAGGTGGAGATTGATCGTACGTAACTATTGTTAATTTCATACCGTCTGGTCGTTAGTCGCGTCCATTATTTTATGTTCTTTCCTCTTTAAGGGTAATAAAAATGTCACTAATTCATTCCTTCTTAGCATTTTTTTAGAATATTCCACTATTATATGCTTATTTTTGCATACCGTGAAAAAGCGCAATTTAAGTGTAAATTATGTGCAAATTTTGTCGTTGTTTGTGTACATGAATGCATTCTCTCTCTCATTTTTTCACATGCATGCACATATCACAAATCTCTCTCACTAGCTCTCTCTCTTTATGAAACATGCATGTTTGTGCACATCGCATCTCTCACGAGTGCTCTCTCACTTCTGGCCTTATTAGGCTTTTTGTTTTTGTGGCTGCGTATGTTCATACCTACACACAAAAAGTGACGGGCTGAATACAATTTTCAGTCGATATCTACGCACGTGGACACAACCACCTCGTCATCGACGGGAACGTCTCCTCCCACTAAATACGCATCATCAGAAATCCTAAAATAAAATCCAGAAATAAATGCGAGCACCAGGACTTGAACCCTGATGGGCTGGGTATACCACAGTTTCTCTAACCATCCAACCATAGGTTGGTTTGCGTCAGTTTAAGTTCTGTATGTATATATTTGGTTGCTCCTCCATCAGAACTCAAAACACATTTTAATAATGTGTCACCACTTATTGGGGCAGTGGATCCTATGAAGTTGTCTAGGCAGATATGTACATCGCAACAGACGAGCAAATCAGATGATAAGGTGTTTGGACAAAGCTATCTATCTAATAGTCCTAGTCGTGGTTTATTACTATGCCATATCAAAATAGTGTTCATAAGAGCATTCACGAGTGATCCCCCCATATCCTTCCTGTACATCTGGGAGGACAATTTGGTCACTCGATTTTAATAAGAGCATTACCTTTGAACTCTTTAATAGATCTGAAGAACCTGACATCAAATCTCGCCACACGACGAAAACCCTAACCTCACCGTTCGAAGGAGACGGCGGGAATCTATGCCAGAGCTCTGTTGACTACATCTAAATGGACGGACTCGAGGAGGATCAGAACCTGCAAGACAAACTTGAAGAAGAAGCACCGCCATCCGCCCGAGCGCTGCACCTACAAGGACTAAAAAACTCAACAAAGCACTATCATCCGCCCGGGTCGTGTCCTACGTGGAGGACTGACTGGGCGTGTCTGCCCCATAAATGGGCTGGATATGGGGATTTGCGCACAACCCAGAGATATGGGGACAGAGTTAATGACTGTGGTTCTAGAGCGCTGGTCCTTAGGGGCACATGCACAAAGATTTTGTGGTTGTCATTGACAAGGTCAAGCTGGCTCTGATAAAGGAGCTTTAACAGCGGCGCATCAACGGCTTGTTCTGGCGATGGTGGTGGTTGTTCGGTGGTATCGAAATCTCGATGTGATTTTTATTACGTTTGAGGTGCTTTGTACTTTCAGTCAACTTTGATAATAGATTTGGATCATTTTCATAAAAATTATCACGATCATATGAACCACTCTACACATACCAGTATACCACATCCTCGATGTTCTACTTTGTACCAGATTTTGATGCTTTTAACTGAAATTCGAGATGATCGTTTTAGCTCTAGGAAGCATATGCTACCAGATGAACAGTAAATTCAAAATAAATACTAAATAAATTTTAAAAATCATGAATTTATGTGTAGATGTTCATGTTAGTGTAACCAGTGTGCTGGACAATTTTAATGTGAAATGGCCAGCAGTGCTTGGTCGGTGAAAAAATAAAATAGTGTAACATTGGAGATAACATTCGACATTGGACTTGTTTTTTCACACAAATCAAAATGCTTAAGTTTTGCCCCTAAAAATTTGCGGGTAGCATTTGAGTATGACAATGAACACATCTTTTTATTATTATTATTTTTACATTGCAAAATACATTTTTGACGCGCACGAACATATGCTTCCTTCCTAGAGGCAAATTGGATTTCTGGAAATTTAACCCTTTCTTTGAGAGATACCTGACGCTAGATCACAACAGTATCCTTCCTGAATGTTTTGCTTCAGGTCTAGTGGGTTTTTGTGCAGACGAGTGTGTGTTGCTTTTGTATACGTGTTCAAGTGATGGTCATGTGCATAGTGGGCGGCAGGATGGGGACAAAGAAAGGGAATGGTCGGCTTGGATGGCTTCTGCCTTTTCGCCTTTCCTGACTCAACGCACCCCTCAACCAGATCTGCACTGCACAACTCCATGCAAAAGCAACGCATTCGATTCCACGCATCGCCTACTCGTTTCATACAGATGCGGAGAAAGGATCTTCTTTTTCCTAAATAATATTCTGCGTCTAAGGAAAAGAAAAAGATAAAGAGAGGGATTTGGAATCTCATCTCTCCGTCTCCTCCTGGACTTTATGAACTTTAATTAAAGTGTGCACCTAGGAGAGAGGAGCCCTAGTGCCAGTGATGAAGCATGATTAGAAAACTACGGTGCTGCATAAGCAAAATAAAGAAATTCTATCAAGAGATTTGAGTGGATGCAAGTTTTTCTTCAAAATTAAGACCAGATGAATCATAAGAGCAACTCCAATGCGCCAACTCATTTCGTATGCGCGCATTCGTTTGAGTCGACGCGGACAGAAAAATCGGCCCAACGCGTTGACCCAAACGGCGCGCGTCCGCTTTCCGTACGCCCGCCGACCCATTTCTAACCCAATTTTGAGCATCGTTTGCGTCGGCGCAGAGACAAAACGGACGCGCGCGGCGCCCGCCTACTCCTCCCATGGCCTGCTAGTCGGCAGCACATTGGCCATCCTCTCCCATTCCAACAGCAAACCCTCACACGCCTCCGCCGCGACACCGTCGCCACCCATTTTCCAGTGCATCTGCCAGCAGCCGGTGCCGCAACATCTCTTCCCAACACCGCCACCTCCCACGTCACCACCACCACCATCTCGCCGCAAGGGCACCGAAAGCTTCCCACCCCACCTCCCCGACGCCGTCGCGGCCAGGAAGCCGCCTCGCCGCCCCGGCCAGCTCCTTCTTCCTAACGCCGGCACGGTCGTCGGACGCCTCCAGGCTAGCCACCTAGTCCAAGGGAAGCGCGCCTCCCTTCGCCGGCTGGCTCCTTCGTCGACGCCCGCAAACTGTTCGACAGTTTGCCAAGGTACAAAATGGAATCCACCGACGAGTTCTTTTTCCATAATTTCCTTTGTGACTCCGACGATTCCTCGTCTGATGAGGTGGAGGAGATCTTGACTGACGTGTTGGTCCATCACCACCTTAATAGCCAGCGGCCATTGTTCCATGGCTCCATCCAGGGGCACCTTCCGACGTTGAATCGTAACTGAGAGAGTGGTCATTTTCTTCTTTGGAAGGACTACTTTGACACAACCTACCCGCTGTTCAAACATTAGAAATTTCGGCGGCGTTTTCGTATGAGTAGGCATCTTTTCAACCGTATTAGAGAGGGGGTGGTCGGATACGAGGACTATTTCGAGTGTAAAGAGGATGCCCTGGGAAAGATTGGCTTCTCATCTTATCAGAAATGCACTGCAGCCGTCTGGATGCATATGGAGTGCCCGGTGATCTCATTGATGAGTACGTCTGCATGAGCGAGTCTACATGCCTAGACTCCATGTACAAGTTCTTCCAGGCTGTGATTGCTGTGTTTGGCCCTGAGTACTTGAGAGAGCCGACTCCTCAAGATACAACCCGCTTGTTGGCGATGAATGCCAGCAAGGGCTTCCCAGGGATGCTTGGCAGTATAGACTGCATGCACTGTGAGTGGAAGAACTACCCTTCTGCTTGGCAAGGGCAGTATAAGGGCCATGTCAGATCTTGCACTGTCATACTTGAGGCCGTGCCCTCACAAGATCTCTGGATCTGGCACTCTTCCTTCGGCATGGCCGGATCACACAATGACATCAACGTGCTTCAACGCTCGCCGGTGTTTGCAAAGCTTGCCGAAGGCAATAGCCCCCCGGTGAATGTTACCATCAACGACCATAACTACGCCAAAGGATACTACCTAGGTGACGGTATCTATTCTCAGTGGATCACTATTGTGAACACAATCCCCAACCCTGTCGGAGAGAAGAGAAAAAGATTTTCCCAAGAGCGGGAGAGTGCTAGGAAGGACGTCGAGTGTGCCTTTGATGTGTTTGCAATCTCGATGGGGCATCGTCCGGTATCCTGCTAGGACTTGGAGCACGAAGCAGCTGTGAGAGGTGATTATGCACAATATGATCATAGAAGATGAGCGTCCGAAACGTATCTACGATGAAGGGTTTCAGTTTCAAGGTGAGAGTGTTGTGAGGAGCGGCAATGTTTGAACAATTCATCCAATTTAATCATGAAATGCGTGATTAGAAAACTCACATGCAGTTGCAAAATGATTTGGTTGAGCATATGTTGTTTCATATTGGCAACCAATAGATGTATCATTTTTATTCGGCTTGTAAAACTGTGTGAAACAATTTAATTTTTATATGACTTGTAAAATTATGCTTTATTTCATTGTGAAATATGCAAAATGTGTGCATATTCGTTGAAAAAGGGCGGCCACGCCGGCAAATATGGGGCGACAAGTTGGGCGCAGTGCTGACCCAAATCAAAAAGAAGACGCACCCAAACGGATAAAATGCGGACAAAATCACCGCCAGTTTGGGTCGACGCGTTCGAGTTGCTCTAAGGGGGAAATATTTTAATCCTTGGAATCAAGCGAGCGCATGAAAAATTCTTAAGGATCGAAAACCTCCAATTTTTCGGTGAAATTCCTTCGAATTGACCTTAAGAATTCAAACCAACAAGAGCTGTATATTTGATTCCAAGGCATAAAATACTTGGTCATTTATTCACAATGCTCCACTTTTCAAATGTACCTACAGATGCTTGCAAACGAAGATAAGCAACTTCATTCCACGCCCTACAAGGCTATATATTCCTTTTCCTCTTCACGCCTAGTTAAACAAACTAACCAACCATCATTTTCACCGCGTGCCGCCATGCTATTCTTCATGCGTTCTCATCTCAGGGAGGGGAACTTTTGGTCTATGGGGACATATGCATTCTATATAAAAAAAAATTAGTAATTCAACAAAAAGTCAAAAATTCCTGAAAATATTTTTGAAATAAACTTGACCTTCTATTGTACTCGTGAGAAATAAAATCCACAAAAAAAATATCCTTTTGACTTCTTTTCAAAAAAGACAAATTTTTGGCTAAAATAGTGTGAATAGTGACCTATAATAGCAAATAAATTTTGTCTTTTTTGTTGTGAGGTCAACTTTTGTTTTTTTTTCATCAACATTTATATATCAGTGCAAAAGTAAGTCAAGTGTTTTGTCAAAATAGTTCTTATCTATTTTGACTTTTTATTAAAAAAATTAAAAAAATCCTCGTATAGGGTGCATACACAACCAGAACCAAAGTGTATTTCCCCTCATCTCAGCCTCTATTTAGAGTCTTCCACTCCGACTCACTGACACACACACTCAGCTCCATGTCTCCTCAGCTCACCGGCGGATCACCGTTGAGCTGCGCCGACTGGAAAAGATAGAATAAATCCTAGGCGACTTCCATCGATCGTATGCTGTATGGCGGCGACGGTGAGGAAGCTGGTGGTGGAGGTGGTGGAGGCGCGGAACCTGCTGCCAAAGGACGGGACGGGCACGTCCAGCCCGTACGCGCGCGCCGACTTCGACGGGCAGCGCCGCAAGACGCGCACCGTGCCGCGGGACCTCAACCCGGCCTGGAACGAGCCGCTCGAGTTCAACTTCCCGGGCCCCGGATCCGGCGGCATCGACCCCGTCGCCGGCGAGCCGCTCGAGGTGGCCATCTTCCACGACGTGCGGGTGGCACCCACCCGGCGCAACAACTTCCTCGGCCGCGTCCGCCTCGACGCGCGCCAGTTCGTCCGCAAGGGCGAGGAGGCGCTCATCTACTTCCCGCTCGAGAAGAAGAGCTTCCTCAGCTGGGTGCGCGGCGACATCGGCCTCAAGGTCTACTACCTCGACGAGCCCCTCGCGCCGGAGCCTGACCCGCCTGCCGCTGATCCTCCTGCGCCCGACGTGGAACCACCAAAGGTTGATGCGCCGCCGCCGGCTCCCGATGCTTCACCTTCACCCGTGTGTGCGGACCCACCGCCCGAAGCAGAGGTGCCAGCGACAGCACAAGGAGCGCCACCAGCCGGCGACGAAGCAAGCACGGAGAAGCCACCCGAGGGTGACGGTGACCCGGCAGCGCCGACCCCGGCCACGGAGGAGGAGCCGGTAATGAGTTCGGAAGCGTTGCCAGCTTCCGATGGGGCGGCGTCAGAGAGGCCGCCGGAGGAGGAGACCCCACCGCCGCCGCCGATCCCGACGCCGATGCCAAGGCAAGTGCCGGTGGCGCCGCGTCCGGCGCCGCCGCCACCGGATGTGCCGATGGAGCGATCAAAGCACGACCTGGTGGACAAGATGCCGTACCTGTTCGTCAGGGTTGTGCGGGCGCGGGGGCTGCCGGCGGGAGCGCACCCGCACGTGCGCGTGGCCGCCGGCGGCCGCCACGCGTCCACCCGGGAGGCGCGCCGCGGCGCCTTCTTCGAGTGGGATCAGACATTCGCCTTCAAGCGCGATCCGGCCATCGACTCGCCGGGCCCCACGCTCGAGGTCTCTGTGTGGGACCTCCCTCCCGACGCCGATGTGTCCGTCGCTGACGACCGCAGCTTCCTCGGCGGGCTCTGCTTCGACACCGCCGACGTCCACGCGCGGGACCCGCCTGACGGGCCGCTCGCCACGCAATGGTACAGGCTTGAAGGCGGGCGCCGACTCGCCGGTGCCGACCTGATGGTCGCCACGTGGGCCGGCACGCAAGCTGACGAGGCCTTCGGCGAGGCGTGGAAGGCGGACTCCCCGTTAGCATCGTCGTTCTCGGCTGCCGTCGCGTCGCGGGCCAAGGTGTACGTCTCACCCAAGCTCTGGCTCCTGCGCCTGACAGTCATCGAGGCGCAAGACACGCTCACGGCGGCGCCGCCCCGCGACGCCGGTATCGCCGTGCGCGGGACCCTTGGCTTCCAGTCCCTCAAGACCCGCACGACGCCGGTGAACCGCAACGGTGGGCCGGCGTGGAACGAGGACCTGGTGTTCGTCGCCGCCGAGCCGTTCATCGACGACGACTGCTTCGTCATCTCCCTCGAGGTGCGCTACGGCAAGGAAGCTTTTCCCGTGGGCTCGGCCAGCATCTCGCTCGCTGCCATCGAGAGGCGGGTCGACGATCGGAAGGTGGCATCCAAGTGGCTCGACCTTCTCCCCTCCGACGAGGCTATCAGAAAAGTGGGCAAGAGGGCGGCCATGCACATGCACGGCGGCCGGCTGCACGTACGAGTGTGCCTCGACGGGGGCTACCACGTTGCCGACGAGCCGCAGTACGCGAGCAGTGACTTCCGGCCTTCGGCGCGGCAGCTGTGGCGCCCGCCAATCGGCGTGCTGGAGCTTGGCATCGTCGGGTGCAAAGGCCTCCTACCGATGCGCACCGCCGACGGCAAGGGGTGCACGGACGCGTACGCCGTGGCCAAGTACGGCCCCAAGTGGGCGCGCACGCGCACCATCTCCGATAGCTTCGACCCGGCCTGGAACGAGCAGTACACGTGGCCCGTGTACGACCCGTGCACCGTGCTCACCGTCGGCGTCTTCGACGATCCGCTGCAGTCGCTTCCGCCGGACGAGGGGAAAGACGCCGCATGTTCGCTGCCGATGGGAAAGGTCCGGATACGGCTGTCCACGCTGGAGAACGGCCGCGTGTACCGCGGCACGTACCCGCTAATCTTGATGCTGCCCTCCGGCGCAAAGAGGATGGGCGACGTCGAGCTGGCCGTCCGCTTCGCCACGTCCGGGACGGCGCTCGACGTGCTGCACATGTACGGGCAGCCGGTGTTACCGGCGATGCACCACCTGCGTCCGATCCCGTCCGTGAACCGCGAGGCGCTTCGGCTGGCCGCGGCGCGCATCTCGGCCGCTCACCTGGCTCGCGCCGAGCCGCCGCTCCGGCGGGAGGTGGCAATGTGGATGCTGGACGCGGCGGAGCCCCGGGGGTTCAGCATGCGGAAGCTGCGCGCCAACTGGAACCGCGCCGCGGCGGCGCTGTCGTGGGTGGCCGACACGGCGCGGTGGGCAGAGGATACCCGGTCGTGGCGGAACCCGACGGCGACGACAATGGCGCACGCCGTCCTCGTGCTCCTGGCCTGGCACCCGGATCTCATCGTGCCGACGCTCACGCTCCACGTCGCCGCTGTCGGCGTGTGGAAGTACCGGCGCAGGCCGCGCGCCCCGGCGCCGCACCCGTGCGTGCGCGCGTCCATGGCGGAGGCGCCTGACAGGGAGGAGCTGGACGAGGAGTTTGACACGATACCGAGCGGGAGGTCGGCGGAGGTGGTGCGCGCGCGGTACGACCGCGCTAGGATGGTCGGAGCGCGGCTGCAGGCCATGGTCGGCGACGTGGCGACGCAGGCGGAGAGGCTGCAGGCGCTCGTGTCGTGGCGCGACCCGCGCGCCACGGGGATGTTCGTGCTCCTCTGCGTCGTGGTGGCCATGGTGCTGTACATGGTGCCCATGAAGGTGGTGGCAGTGGTCGCCGGGTTCTACTACCTTCGGCACCCCATGTTCCGGGACCGGATGCCGGCGCCAGTGATCAACTTCTTCCGGCGGCTGCCTTCTATGTCCGAACGTATCATGTAGGATCCGCCGACCCGAGCGGTGTGGGGGTCTGGGTCGCCATGGACTGCAGTTCCAGTTGCAGTTTGGAGTACTAGCTCGTTTTCCTTCTTTGAGATGGACCTTGTAGTACTAGTCGGTACTAAAGAACACTTCAGCTATATGCAAGTCGTTTGAATTTTAAATTTGCATAAGTTAATTTTCTGACCAATGATTCTTGTGTCAAGATTTGTGTTGTTCTATTTTCTTGTGTTGTTTCATAATTTCTTAGTCTACTTTTCTGACTTGCCCCTGTTTGGGGTATTCTATTTTTTTATTAAGCTGTGTTTTTGATTGCCCCTGTTTGGTGTAAATCAAAATTTTCTTGCGCTGAACTTTTGACTTGCCCTTGTTCGGCCTAAGTCGATTTTTCTATTTTGACTTGCCCTTGTAGTATTAGCTTGTTTTCCTTTTTGGAGATGGACCTTGTAGTACTAGCTAGTAAAGACCAAAGAACACTTCAGTTATATGTAAGTTGTCTGAATTTTAAATTTAGATCAGTTAATTCTCTGTCATTGATTCTTGTTCAAGATTTGTGCTATTTTATTTTCATGTGTTGTTTCATGATTTCTTAGGCTGATTTTTTTTCAAGAGTACGCCAAAGGCGTACCTTATTTTTATAGAAGGCAGCAAAATATGTATAAGAAGCCCGACCCGGATGCGAACATGCGGCGGCTGTTTGCAACTCCACGTCACTCCTACTATACCTAAACTAACTACTCACAAAACATTGTAGACCTCCTACACCAACTCCATAGGCTGATTTTTTTTAACTTGGCTCACTTTGGGGTAAGTCAATTTTCTTTTCCTAGGCTGGATTTTTGACTTGTCCCTGTTTGGGGTAAGTCAAATTTTTCTAGCTAAGTTTTGGACTTGCCATTGTTTGGCTAAGCCAAATTTTCTATTGGGCATTAGGCCATTTACACATTGCATATTTTTTTGTATGGGTTTTTGCCTTTTCTTTTCTTTATATTTTTAGTCGGTTTTTCTTTTTCACATGGGTATTTTTTGCAGCACTTCTACTGTACGTTTGTCGCCCGGAAATTCATTTTGTGTTAGTCTTTTTTCCTGTCGTTGATTTCTGCTTTGAGATTTGTGCTCTCTTTTTTCTGTTCTGTTCTGCGAGTTCTTTTGGGCTAGTTTTTTTCACCAATTGCATATTTGGGCCTGTAAATTCCTTAGCATCCTGAAGCCCATTTACTGTGCGATCTAACCCTCCACTCTCTCCCTTTGTTCTTTTCTCTTTACTGCTTTTTTTTTCTTTATTAGTCGTTTTTTCTATTTTTTGGGTATTTTGGGATGTGGGTGAGTGTAAATGTATACACACAAATACTATAAAATATATGCAAAAGGTGCATTATTGTATGATTATTCTTTGCACACTACAAAAATGTGCAATTACGGTGCAAAGTTGTTGAAGTGTTTATAGTTTTTCTCTTCATTTCCGTTTTTCTTAATGGCTAATACCAATGCCACTAATTCAATGTTCCTTATGAAAAATGAGTTATTATTTTATTTTATTTCTCTTTAAGGGTAATATCAATGCCACTAATTCATTCCTTGTTAGGATTTTTTGCGAAAATTTCACTATTATATGCTTCTTGTTGTAGTTTTTTTAACCGTTGTTGTTGCATATTTGAAAAGGCAATATTTTTTTTGTATATTGTGTGTACATTTCGGCATTGTTTGTTTTAGATCTTTTTTCATTTTACTTAAAGTCTAATACCAATGCCACCAATTCATATTTACTTGAAAAAACTTAATTGTTTGGATTTTTTTAATTTGTATTTCATTTTCTTTATATTTAAAGGATAACACCAAGCCGCTAATTCATTCTTTCTAAGATTCTTTATTTTGATGCTGTTTTAGTTTTTATTTCATTTCCTTTCTTTCTTAATAGTAATACCGATGCCACTTTCATTTAAATATAAAAAGCACAATTTTTATGTAAATTGTGTCAAACTTTGTCATCACTTTTTATTAGTTCATTATTTTCTTTTTCTTAAAGGGTAATACCTATGCCATCAATTTATTTTTCTTATAAAACTTTATTGTTATTATGAATTTGATTTAATTTTTATTTCATTTTATTTTTTCTTAAAGGGTAATATCAAAGCCACTAATTCATTCTTTCTTAGGAAAACTTCATTATTTTGTTGTTTGTTTATTAAGGGTAATACAACTATCACTAATTAATTACTTCTTATGAAACTTCTTTTTTGGCAAAAATTACACTATTATATGCTTATTCATGCATATTATGCAAAGGTGCAATTCCTTTGTAATTATGTGCAAATTGTATCATTTTATTTCAACTTGTAGATACTATCTAACCAAGTGTGCTTATGCACTTTATGCCTCATATTGTCAAATGCTTCTTGAAATTCTGCTTTGTCCTCATAGCCATACATACATTCACTAAAATCAGTGAGAATATGAGACTCCTCATCTTCATCTTCATCTTTCCCATCATCTTTATCTTTCCCTTCATCTTTCTCTTTCTCTTCATCTTTTTCTTCACCCTTCAATGGAGATAAATGCTTGACAGCATTTTGCATTATATGAAAGGTGCACTCCATGATATGATTCCGTGAAGACTTTTCTTATAGCTTTCCCCATTGCTGCATCTTGATCCGTATAAATAGTTCTATGTTGCCTCCCATTATGTGCAGCTAGAAAAGTCTCAAAAAGCCATGTAAATGAGTCACATGTTTCATCAAATAGTAATGCAGCACCAAAAATGGTGGTTTCTCTAAACTGATTCAGTCCAAGAAAAACACCAAATGGCCTATATTATTTGTTTGTGCCAAAAGTGGTATCGAATGTGACAACATCGCCAAAGTGTGCATATTCAAGAACCATTTTTGCATCAGCCCAAAATATGTTGGTTATATGCTCTTCACAGTCCAACTGCAAAGCATATTGGAAAGATGGATTCTCAATAATTTTGTCATGGAAGTACTTCAACATACTACCAGCCTGTCTAAAAGCTAACTCTCTCTGCCGCTTGCTTCGCAAATGATTCTTTTGGTCAACACAAGTGTAGCCGAGGTTAAGTGGTCCACCAACTTGACGACAAGCAAGCTCATGTGCAGCTTTTGGCATGATTCCAGAATCATCAGCGGCTTCTATTTCAAAAGCTTGCACTTCGGAAATCTTCCTTTGTGATGCCATCAAGTGACAAGTTTGTGGCAATTGAAGGTAATGATTGTGTTCTAGCACAATATCTGTGACTTCATAATTTTTTGCTACTCGATCCAATGTTATAGTCATCCGGGCTTTGCAATATGTTCTTGTTTCAGCTCTAATACGCTTTGGCACATGATCCAATGTTATCTCTTTTTTTCCGAAGACCCTCATTGGAACAAACAAATCTGCATGAAGTCACTTCACCATCAAACTTGCTTACATGTTTGTTTCTCTTCCTCACATCAAACCCTGCACGGCCCCCATATGCTACCCAAAACACCCAAGCTTCATCTGCATTTCTGAACCACATACCAACTTGAGGTATTCCCTTATCAATTTCACTCATTGCACAACACTTGCAAATGCACAACACTCAAATCTTGTCAAATTGCACAACCACGCAGCCCAATCAACAACAATTTTGTCAAATGGGACAGTACACACATCATTCAATTTCACATAGTACATAAAAAAATCAGTTAAATAGCACAAACGGCTACCTGTTGGAGTCGGCCTAGAGCTCGATGGCCAGTGCGGGGGCGAGGGAATGGACGGAGAGAGCCGTTGGAGCCTGTCGGAGGGGGCGGGTGGAGGAGCCCGGAGTGGCGACGGAGGAACCTGCCGACGCCGTTTTCTTCAGTGGCCGCGGCCGGAGCTTGATCCCCTCTGTTTCCTGCGGCGGCGGGGGGCTGCAGAAGAGCGGCGGTGGGGGCTGCGGGTGTTTGACACGAAAAATAATAACAAACATCGATGGTTATAGTGTTATTATCTTTCTACGCGCCAGGGAAAATAAATATGCGGGCGTGCCAGTGTACTGAGTACACAAAGAAAACATAGGGAAACTTGTACTTTATTAATTTCTCGTGGGAGAAAACAAATTACATGATCCCTTTACATAAGCACTCAATGGCCTGCTAGCTCGGCCAATATGACTTCGGCGATTGTGAGGTTCTGGTTCACGGGGCCTCGGAAGGCTCCCGATTAATTACGTCCGCGAGCCGGAGCCACGGACCACCTTCGATTAAGCTGCTGCAATGGTCGTCGTCTTCAAGTCTCGTCTTCTCCAAGTGCTCGGTGTAGATGATGGTGATGATGTGGTGGAATAGAAGAGTGGAGCGGTACGTCCGTTGCTCCGGCGATGCTTAGTCACATCCCTCCGGCTTGTCGATGTCCGATGATGAAGATGTCTGGCCTCGTCAGCTCAGACAGATGGTCGGCCTTCGCCTCGTCGGTGCCCGGCCTGGTGGTGTCCGCCTCGTCGGTGTCAGACACGGTGTGTCTTGCCTTCGCCTCGTCGGTGCCCGGCAAGATATGGATAGCTTCATCGGAAGAAGACATGTCGGTGAAGTGGCTTTGCCTCGTCGGAGCTTGGACGGGGTTTGGGGAGTGTGTTGATGTAGAAGTTGGAGTAGATTCGGGCGTCGCCGTGTGGCGGCGTTGCTTGAAGATGACGATAATGCGAGCTCGTCGATGTAGACCTCAGACCGTCGTGCCTCGTCGGTCTTGGCAGCGTTGGAGTATTTGTTGTCGGGGTGGCATGGGTCGCGCTCGGCTTAGACTTCTCGACGGCCGGTTACTTCATCGGGGTGTGCGAGGGGTACACCTTGCGGGAGTAATGGTTTGGGGAGACCGGCGTTAGTGTAAAAACTAACGCGCGCTCACATGGGCGTGGCCGGGGTGGTTGGCACCTCGTCTTGGCTCGACGCCGAGTATTCGGCGGTCTACCAAGACAAAGGGGGCCGCCTCACGAGGCCGTGGAAATGTGGCGTTGTAGAGGCCACGTCTCCTTGGGCTGG